AAAAAAAAAAAAAAAAAAAAAGGAATTTTATTTAAAAAAAATTTTTTGGAGACAGAGTCTCACTCTGTTGCCCAGTCTAGAGTGCTGTGGTATCAGCTGAGCTCACAGCAACCTCAAACTCCTGGGTTCAAGCAATCCTCCTGCTCAGCCTCCTGAGTAGTTGGGACTATAGGCACCCACCACAATGCCAGCTAATTTTTCTACTTTTAGTAGAGATGGGGTCTCACTGTTGCTCAGGCTGGTACTGAACTCCTGAGGGATAGAGTCAGATGGAGGGACCCACCCAAACAGAATCCACCCACCCAAATAGAATTGACCCACCCAAATTGGATGTCCCACCTAGGAAAGGTGAATGGGCCAACCCCTACCCTTCTGACCAATGTCCCACCCAGGAAAAGGAATGCACCAACTTCCATCCTTCTGACCTTTAAAACCCTTATCCACCATTACCCATATGCTGATTTCCTTCTCGAACTTGGCTCACCCTTACTGGGGTGGAAATAAAGGTCAATATTGCCCACACAGAACCTGGATTCCGTTTTCCTTTCATTTCACGTCTTGGGATGATTTTTATTTCTGTCTTTGACCTCTCACTAAGCTCAAAGGATCCTCCCCCCTTAACCTCCCAGAGTGCTAAGATTAGCCACCAAACCTGACCTGAGGTATTTTTTGTCTGTTTGGTTCAATGGTATATCTTCAGTAACTTTAGCACATTGTACATCCTCAACAAAAACTTGAATAAATGAAACATATTCAGTAGTTGGGCACTGTGGTGGGCACCTGTAATCTCAGCTACTCTGGAAGCTGAGGCAAGAGGATTGCTCAAGCCCAAGAGTTTGAGGTTGCTGTGAGCTATGATGCCACAGCACTCTACCCAGGGCAACTCTTTGTTCTCCTCAATTTCTACACCCTTTCTAGAAAGTCCTACCATAGCTATGGCTTTAAACACCTGAATCTTTATCTTCAGCCCTGACCTTCCACTAGCCTCCAAATTCAAGCACTCAACTGCCCACTGGAAACAGCACACCGGATAGCATATGGGTACTAAAAACTTGGCACATCTGGAACTCATTGTTGCCTTTCTCCTTGACAGTGTCAAATTTATTCTTTCCTTTGTATTCATTATCTCAGTAAAATGGCCCCAGTGTTCAACAAGCTGCTACAAGACAGAAACCTGGGATTCCTGGTTTTACTCACTCCTATGGCCCCATCCAAGCAGTCATTAAATCTTATCAGTTCTATCTTCAAAATACAGCATTTCTCAGATCCAGTCTCTCCTCTCTGACCACACAGCCACTCCCTTAGTTCAGGCTACCATAAGCTCATGTGGGTATTACTGCAACAATCTCTTACTGGCTTTTGGGATCCACTTTTTTTTTTTTTGAGACAGTCTTACTCTATCACCCTGGGTCTAGTGCCATGGAGTCATAGCTCACAGCAACCTCAAATTCCTGGGCTTGAGCAATTCTCTTGACTCAGCCTCCCGAGTAACTGGGACTACAGGGACCAGCCACAATGCCTGGCTAGTATTTATTTATTTATTTATTTACAGATAGAGTCTCACTTTGTTGATCTTGGTAGAATGCCATGGGATCATAGCTCACAGCAACTTCAAACTCTTGGGCTCAAGTGATTCTCTTGCCTCAGCCTCCCAAGTAGCCCCGGCCACAATGCCTGGCTATTTTTAGAGACGGGGTCTCACTCTAACTCAGGCTGGTCTCGAACCCATGAGCTCAGGCAATTCACCTGCCTCGGCCTCCCAGAGTGCTGGGATTACAGGTGGGAGCCACCGTGCCTGGCCCTTAGTTTTTCTATTTTTAGTAGAGACGGGGTGTTGCTCTTGCTCAGGCTGGTCTCAATCTCCTGATCTCCAGCACAATCCACCTGCCTTGGCCTCCCAGAGTGGTAGGATTACAGGCGTGAGCCACTGTGTCTGGCCTGGGATCCACTGTTGTCCTTTCTAATTCATCCTTCTCACTGCAGCCAGAATGTACTTCTAAGATTCCAATTCAGACCACTGACTCCTCTATTGACTTTCTACCACCTATAGGATGAAAGCCAAGCATCCTAGAATGACATTCCCCTTCACAACTTTTCCAGCATTAAAATCATTACTCACCTCAATTGTACTGACTGTCCTCCTTAGCTCTTTTTTTGTTAACCATTATCCCTTCTGAAGACTTTTCACTTATTCAAATCTTTATTGAGTACCTACTGTGTGTCAGCTACTCAGGATACAGCAGTGAACCAAACAAAATTCCTTATTCTCATGGAGCTGAAATTCTAGTTGCAAGGGAGAAGCAGACAAATAAATAAGTGAATTCTACCACATATTAAAAGGTAGCAAGTGCTTTAGAGAAAAGAAAAGCAGGAAAAAGATAGAGGGAGTGTCTCGGGGGGGTGTTGAAGTTTTATTTTTTTAGGGTGGTCAGAGAAGACCTCACCAAGAAGATGGCCTGTGAGTAAAGATCTCAGGGAAATGAGGAGGCAAGATGAACGGACGTCTGCAAAGGACTTGAGGCGGGAACACCTCTGGGGTTTTAGGCAACAAGGAGGCCAATGTGGGAGGACTGGAATGAAAACAGAGTAATAGGATATGACTTTAGAAAGACAAATGGTGACTAGATCATAGAAGGCTCGAAGGTCACTGTAAGCATTTGGCTTTTACTGAGTGAGAGGAGGAGTTGCTAGGGTTTTTGAATGGAAGAGTAGCATGATCTAATTTATATTTTAGCACGATCACTTTGGGTGTGGTGTTGAGAAAGACTCAAGGGTAGAGGGAATGGTAGAAGGATGGAGACCGGTTAGGAGGTTACTATAATAATTTAGGCAAGAAACGATGGTAGCTTGGCCTGGGATGCTAGTGGTGGGGTGGGAAGCAGTGGTCAGCTTCTGGATATAATCTGAAGGTAGAGCCAACAGGATTGACTGTGGACCAGATGAGGGTGCGAGAAGAAGAGTCAAGGATGACTCCAGTTCCTGTTCTGAACAACTGGGTAGATGGAAGTGGCATTAACAGGATGGGGAAAACTAGGAGAAGCAGGTTGGTTTTTTTGTTTGTTTTTTTGAGGGTAGGTGGAGACATGAGGAACTCAGCTGTGTGCAATACTCGTTAGACATTCAAATGGAGAGGGGAAGTTAGCTACACAAGTCTGGAGTTCAGGGGAAAGGTCAGGGCTAGAGACATAATTTGGGAGTCATCAGCACACAGATGTTATTTAAAGTCAGGAGACTGGGTGACATCACTTAAGTCTTGAGCCTGGAGATACTCGAACATTGAGAGGTTGGAGGAAAGTAGGCCCAGCAAAGACTAAGGGGAAGGAGCCAGTGAAATAGAAGGAAAGTCAGGAAGGTCTGATGTCCAGGAAGGCAAGTGAAGGCCATGTGTCAAAGTGGAGGGAGTAATGAGCTGCTAATGGCCAGGTAAGATGGGACTGAGACCTGACCATTGGATTTAGAGACACGAAGGCTACTGGTTACCATAAGAAGTTGCTATTAAGTAATGAGGGCAAAGTCTGACTGGACTGGAATCAAGAGAGAATGGGAAGAGAATGACTGGAGATAGTGAATAGAGACAACTCTTTCAAAGAGGCTTCTTTCACAATTGTAATCATGTCTGGTTTTTGTTGTTGTTTTTGAGACAGAGTTTCAAGCTGTCACCCTGGGTAGAGTGTCATGGTGTCATTGCTCACGGCAACTTCCAACTCAGGCTCAAGCAATCTTCTTGCATCAGTTTTGCTATTTTTATTTTAATTTAATTTTGAGACAGAGTCTCACTATGCTGCCCTTGGTAGAGTGTCGTGGCATC